CCTGCTCAGCTTACTGCGTTTGCTTGCATAATCGCTGCCTTTTTTCTCCTCAGACTTTTCCTCAAAAACTAGGGCAGGGCTGCTAATGTGCATCTTCATTTTTTTAAAAAAAAAGAGAAGTAATCTGTTTAAAAATTAGCAGGCAGGAGCAGATGCAGCAGTTTACTTCTGTGAATGTGCACCACGGAAAGCAGGAGCTCAAAATGGATTCCTCGCTGCGTCGAGATTGTGCCTTTTAGTGTTTTCTGAATTGGTCCTCACGTATCCGCAGGCACTGATGGAACGAGCAGGAGCATTTCTCCTTGCTTGCCTTTCTGGATTTGCAGGATTTGAGTGGCTGTATTTGAACTGTCGTAGCCAGACGTTGAAGTGCCGCACTTCACAGGTTCTCCATCAGCCATTTTTGAGAGAGGTAATAGGCAGCAGCAATTTTAACTTCTGAGGACTAAAACAAAAGCTGCAGCAAGCCCAGGCATTGGTTATGCTTCTGCCAAGAGGTTTTTCATGCATACAAGGAGACTGCAGCATGGCAGTACATGGGAATACAGTGCTCTCTGTGCATTACTTAGGTGAGGGTAAAAAGGCCTCATCTGGCTTGCTCCAGACACCAGGTAAAGGTATCATTCAGTGAGCTTCTCCCCAGAAAAGCTGATTCTGGTTTTCTGTTCCTGAATGAGGAAAGAAACTCTTGCAGCAATTTCCAAACACTTCAAATGCTTGAGGCAGTTCAGTTTCTGACTGTGCTAATAAGAGCAGTGAACCCAAATTATAATCAGCTGGAGATTCTTCCCAGACTCACTGACTCCCTTTTGTGTTTATGCAAGTTTTCATTTTAATATCTCCTCTTTTCCTCTCTGTTAAGGAGCTACTAAAGGAATTTAAAGCAAACATTGCTGTCGTAGCATCAACGTTCATTGAAAACGTTAAAGGAATATATCCTTTTGACAGTACGTTGGCCTGGACCTCTCAGTGATGTACGTGTATCTCACTTCTAAATCCAGAAATGAGCCATCACCCAGTGTGAAATACCTAGAATTTTTGTTGAATTTTCTTTAAATGACCTTCACTTTTGTGTTGTTGATGTCTTCTGGAACAAAGTGAGATGAGAATAGCAAAGTGCTTCAGTGACAGGTTACACTATTTTAAATATCTACATCTGTTGGCCTGGTGCAAATAATTGGCATGTTCTGAACTTAGCTTGTACTGTGGCAGCCCTCCTTCAATTTCCTTCGCAAACCGAAGCCCACTCTCAGTTCTGTGTAGTAATATTACATGAGGATGAGACCTGATGTGTGTGAGCTGCAATTATGAGCAGAAAGTGCATATCCTGACATCCCAGCAGCTTCTGGCAGCAGCCAGGCTCTTTCCTGTGTGGACTCTCGGTCTTTAGTTACAGGAGGTAATTTAAACTTCAGGAGTGGTGTGGGCAGCCTTTTCCTTACCCATCCTCTGTACAGTGACCCAGTGTCGGGACCTGGAAAACCATCACCATGAAAAGCTGCTAGAGATCGTCATGGCCACACTGGAGAAATCAGCCAAGAATGAGCTTGACGAGGATTTGCCAGCTGATCTTCAAACGGTGAGAGTACCGAAATACTCATCTCTGCTAGGGAGTCAGCAAGAAGAGGAGGCCACAGCCTCTTCTCAGAGGGGACGAGGTTTCCAGGCGGCTCAGTACAGCTACAGCCATGCCTAAAACCAGAGCATAACCTCCTCTCAAGAGGCTCCAGCTGCTTGGCTGAACTGCAGTGCTGCTGGACATCTCTGCTGACCAGGACAGGATAATGGCACTGCAGAGCTGGTGGCAGCAGCCCAGGAGAGGTGCTGAGTGAGTCTGTCCTGCCTCCAGCACAGCTCCCTTCTCTGGCTGATCCCCAGACAGCCCCAACCTGGCGGGCCTTTGGGCAGCGGCTTTGGTGCCCTCACAGCTGGTTTTGTTCAGGTTCCCCCTGGTCCCCCAGGAGAACCCAAACATGGCTCTGACTCCTTGCACCAAGGCTCTGTTTGCCTCAGAGATTTCAAAAGCCCCCCCTAGAGCTCCCCTGCTCATGAGCTGATCTGGAGGCAGGACATGACATTTCAAACAGGGGCCTTCCACTGCACCCTCAGTCTTGCTGTGATAGCCAAGATCTCAGGAGCCTTTCAGAAAACACAAAGATCATTGCAGGGCCTCAGTTACTGACCTTTTTGCGTCAGTTATTCCTTCAGTTAGAGGCTAAATTACTCCAGTTTTGCATTTGCTGTGGTTTTGCTCTGTCCAGATTACCCCAGCCTCCCCATTACTCCAGGTAACAGAGCTGGCAGACACAAACCAGACCCCTCAGCCCCCCCAGGGTTGCTCCCTGCTTTATGGCCTGTGCAGATGGCTGCAGTTACGCGCCGTTGCCGCGCACCCATTTTGCCTCGCCACCATCCATTTCCGCAGAGAAGCAATCTTCATTTGTTCAACAGCTGCACTTGGCTGCAAGAGGAGAGTCATTACGCTTTAGCGAAGCCACCCTCTATTTAGCGCCACGGGGGAAGTCACTGCTTCGATTAGAATCTGAGGCTCTCCAAAAAATGAAGATTTACAGCCAGTGCCAGTAGTGCAAGAGACACTTCCAAGTGCCATTTTTCCACTTTCCGCACCCGCTGGGCCAGGCGTGCTGGAGCATACGCAGCCGTGCTTCAACCCCAGCTGCCCGCAGGGGCCTGCCCTGGGCTGC